GTGTGTGTGTGTGTGTGTGTGTGTGTGTGTGTGTGTGTGTGTGTGTGTGTGTGTGTGTGTGTGTGTGTGTGTGTGTGTGTGTGTGTGTGTGTGTGTGTGTGTGTGTGTGTGTGTGTGTGTGTGTGTGTGTGTGTGTGTGTGTGCACGCGTGCATGGGGGGGAGGGTTGTGCACGTACGGTATAAATGCAAGTGATCGTGCGCGCACGAATGTGTACATTTGCGCGCGAAAGCACAGTCACGGTCGCTGCTGAGCCGCTGCGCTCAAACCAGACCGGACACTTGTGCGTGCTCAATGGCCGCCGGCCCGCGCCCGCGCGATGCCTCCGCTGCCCATAGCTCTTGCCTAAGCAGTAATCCACCCAGTCCTCACCCTTTGTGATCGGGCGCACGTTGAATTGCTTTGGAGGAGGCCTGGCCGGCGCCGTTGCCGCTTCCGCATCCACGGCCGCTGCTGCCGCGTCGCCTGCCGCTTTTGCTGCCACATGCGGCCTGCTAATGGAGGCGCTGCTGCTCCTCCTGCGGCTGCATGGGCTGCAGCTTACCCCATGCAGCTGACCCCATGCGTCGGCGTCTGTGACGCTGCGGCACCTCATGCGCCGCTGCAGCGGCCACCAAGCAGCGGCTGGGTGCGGCACAGCACATTGCCATACCCCGGGGCACCGCAGTTTGCCAATTTTGTAGCCTGAAGACAGCATTCTGCTAAGCATTTCTAAGCAATCGGAGCCCGCTGGGCAGTCCGAATTGCAGTGCAGTGAGTCCGACCGTGCACGCGACAGTACTCTAGCCCGCGCCAAAGCTCAACGATAGGATACGGTGGTAGTGACGCCTCACCGACCCTGCTGACCGAGCTGAAAGTACCGGAACGAGTAGCAAGTGCCGGTCACCCTTCACACCCATTTCGGACTCCAATGGGCCAAGAACGCGTCGACTGTCGTGAGCGCTGGCTTCCATCGAGGTGCTCAGAGACTTTTCCTATCTCCTAGAGCGGATGATATAATCATTGGCAGGATTCCCAGCCACCACAGGGCGGTTTTTCTGTGAGGTAGGAACCCACGTAATCATGTACTGGACAGGCGTCAAGCAACCACGTAGGACCACATAACCACCTGGTCAGGTCTCGCGCCCTGCCAAGCATAGCGCACACCGTTGCGCCACGCCGGCATGGCGGCCTTCGGCGCCTCGCGGCCGCCGGCATATGTCTGCTACCTCTGTGGCGCCCAATTCGGCAGCAAGAGGTGCGGCACATATTGAATGCTGCGAACAATATGCCGCTGTACTCTTTGGGGGTGTTTCCGCCGGACCCACCGTGCTGTTCAGCAAGTCGCATGCAGCTCTGGTTCAAATCACACCAACAACGCAGGCGCATGCGCGTGCGCGCGCGCGCACACATACACACACACACACACACACACACACACACACACACACACACACACACACACACACACACACACA